TGACTCAGAAATCTCTATGGCAGATCCTCCCACATCTAGCTAGACTCCCAGAACCAGCTAAGCTATAGCCCAGCTATGAAAGGAAACAGACGTGTAGCACGGAGCACGTTTATTCTCTACGAGTATTGCGGATAAAGTGTGTACACGCAGGGAGCCACTCATGATCAGGATGGGGGATTAGGTTAAACAGAGGTTGATGATTGGTCACTGTTTGTATGGTCGCTGCACACAGAGTTGTACGGCCGCACCTCCCAATCCTGGCGAGCAGACATGCAGGCATACGATGACGCACAGAGCGATAATGTGTCCCACAGTTGTTTTAATTGTGCTCTCTTATTTTTCGAATAGTATCTTTCAGAGCACTGCGCAACAAAGTCAATTTGATAACATTAATGTACTTTTTAAATATAATTAAGTACTAAACTAAATCTTGCTATAATAGGGAGAACAAAAAGTATTCTTTTTTTCATTTTGAACAGTGAGCCAGTCTTTATATTTTCGTGTTATTGCTAGGAACTTGTTTCAAACGTTCCATCCAAATCTAAGACTTTAAAACATGGTAGGAGATTGATAACCAATTATAGTGATGATGACCACTGACTACTTTGCTTTTAGCTACAAATAAGGTGCTCAATTTGAATTTTGAGTGATGGGATGAATGTCACGACATGTTTAGAACCCAGCACCGAGGCGGCATCAACATTCCAATGAAAATTGGCCTTTACCAGTGCCTCTTGCCTGTCAATGTCCGATAAGCTCCACACACACACACACACACACACTTAGATGTACAGTCTTGCTTTTCCGAACTGAAGCACATGTTTCTGAAAGTTTAGCAGGGTGCGAGCAATGACTTCTAGTTAAGGCCAAATTTTCCTCTATCGCTGTCACTCATGGCATAGTTGCTCAGACACAAGAGGAAACATCTCCCATTTCTCGGCACCCCCCTCCCCCTCATTTGTGATCCTTATGCCTTCAATCACGCCTATTATTTTCATCTTTCAAATATATATATATTACATACTTTATGTCGTTTCCTATTCACTCCTAATTGTTTTACGATATGTCTTAATAAGGGCCTATTGGCAAATCAGCTGAAGGTCATGGGCAAGGAATTAGAGAACTAGTTCATTAGAATAAATGCAATAAAGAATCTTTTTGAATGCTAAGATTCGCGCATAAAAATCGTTCCAAAAAACTAAAGAAAATAATAATTTTTTAAAGAAATTACTGCAAAAAAAAATAAAACGATCCTTCATTTTTCCAGACATATACGTCAATTTGCACCCCCACGATCACTTCGTTACTGCGAAGACAGAATAGTTACGGCTCCAGTAACACCCAGGACCTACCCGCCTTCCATGCTTGAGTGGAGAACCAACTACACTGGCACTAATATGGCCCTTTACCTCACCTACCCTGATGGTACGTTCTCTAGGGAAATATTTATTTATTTACATCAAGTGGCAGGTGTTTTGATAGTTATCATTAGCCCCTTAGTTGACTTTAGGCTTCACAGAGGGGAGGAACATCGAAGGGAAAAAAAGCCGAGGAGGGGAGAGGGAACAGAAGAGTGTTTCAATGATGTAAAAGAGACAGACAAAAAGGTAGAAAAAAGGTGAGGTGATTGCTGTGGAAGTAGTCGAATATGACATAGTGGTGTGATTATAGTTTGAAGTGAGAAGTCAACTGCCGGTTAATAGACTTTTTGTCGTATGAGTATATGTTGCCCAGGGTGCACCACGTGGAGGTAAGTCTAACGCGCACCCCCTGTAGGGAAATCTAAATCTTCATCATTGCGCGCGTTCAAGTGAAGGAGAATGACTTCAGTAAAGGTCAAATCTATCAACGTTTCCGCAGCTAATCCTCAATTCTAGTAGCAAGGTATGCTATTAAGTCTCTCAACCTAACTAGTAAGAACCTGGTTTATTCAGTTGAGTAAGGTATTTACTGAGTTAAATAATCAGGAGCATCGAATAGTGTTAACAATCCGGAGTCTCATTAAGTTTTTCTTTCGTCTAAAACAAGAAGAAATTACATATTTTGGGCTCAAATTAATGCAATAAAAAGATAGTGGGAATTAGATCAACTCAACGATGAAATGAACTATCGATGGAAGCCATTAGACTTATCTCTGCAGTTTGTTATCGAGGAGAAAATAGAAATGGGTTAAATGTCCCTCAAAACACCGCAGAATTAAAAATGCTAAGCCCTGACAGCTATTGGCAAATGAGAGCTAAATTATCCGACATTTGATAGCTCATTTGCCCATATCGCTTTACTCTCTAAATCTGCACTCTATTTGAGTACACTAACCTTGAGGACAATGTCATTTACATTCAGGGGAATTTTATTCGGCATATAATCCAAACAGCAAGGAGAAAGGACGATCAGTAAGTACCAGGTAATCGGTAAACAAAAGCATAGAGAAGACCTCTAGGCGGGTCAGCTTTTTTATATAGATCTGTGCCAAAGGACGGCTAAGAACCCAAATGAACTCAGATCATCAAGATTTTCTCTATTTGACTAAAGTGGGCTATGATAAAATCAGAGAGGACTGGCCAAATTTCATTTGGAAATACAAGCTGTTAATCTGTCATTTGTGGTGAATACGTGAAGTGAATTTCACCAGCTTCCTTTACTCCCCATTCTACTGCTTCTGTTACCAAAGAAGCAGAAATTTCCGCCTCGTCCTCCACCTCCTCCTCTTCCCCTGTATGCTTGGATGTTTGTCTGTACTCAGAGGTCATTGAAAATTTTTGCATTATCTCGTGTATTAAGAAAGTGAGTTCAAACAGGCCTATTCTTTCTCCATCTGATGCTCCCCAATTTCCCAATTTGTGGCAAAAAGTGCGGGCTTTAAGGGAAAGTATGTTTACCATGTAATAACAACAACGTTAAAGGGTGATAATAAATTTTATTAGCATCTGAATACATTAAACATGTTTTGAGAAAACTCACTTGCTATCGACAAGAATCCGTTTCTTGCTAGTACGAGTTTGAGCACTTTGAAGCAGAACATGATGATTCTAATTAAATAGAAAGGAACAGCGAATTTGTTGCGTCTTTCGAACTTTTGCGTCTAAGTGACCGAAACCAAATAATAAAAAGCAAAGCGAAGCTTGAATTTTCGTTTTAGAGTCAAAATTTCTTTCACAATTGCACAATTTCAAGTTGGATGAATGTTTCCAAACTTTGCCATGACAACGTTCTGATTTCTGTTTCAAAATTCTTTTATTTATTTCAGGCACAACTGCAAATATACACACAACTTGCTTCAGCCGTGCCGATGAGTTGGCCAATCAAGCAATCAGTTTGAAGTAAGAACATTGATTTTTTTAATTTTTTTGGGTTGGATTTCATAATGACATAATGATTTATAGAGGAGGCAGGCATACGGGAAGAGTTGACTTTTTTGTAATACTGGTAGTTAAAAGAAGATTAAAAGTTCTCAAAACATCCACTGACTGGAAAGACTTTAAGTACTAATTCTTCTAACATCGGTGTCTCTTAATCCATTTTAGAGCCAAGACTGCCCGACTGGGTCGTGGTTGGACGATAAGTCTTTATCGCAAAGGGGGTGTTATTGAGCCCAGCGGTCATCGGTATGTTATGGACATGCTGAGTGCGACAGAGCTACCCTCCGATTGGTTTTCACTTTCCGGTCTGAGTCCAGATCAGACCTTCCTCGGAACGACCATGGATCCCTCACAACATGCCCTTGGGCCTCCCTTCGTCGGCACCCTGCGAGATGCCGACGCTTACAAATCTGCGTAAGTAGATGGAGCCCCTTTATGTCACACTCAATTGGAGGCAATTTTTTTTGCCTGTCTATTAAAGAGCTGGGGTTTGCTTATTTAGGCGAAACTTTAGTAGAAGTGTACAAATGCGCTACCCGTCGCTTGCTCGAAGAAATAGGAGAGCAGGTGATGAAATGAAAGCAAGGTGAGAGACTAACAAGCTTAAAACCATCCCGCTTTGATGATTTCTGCTTAATCAAAAGGAATGACTGTGAAATTTATCACACCATCTTCTTCGCGGTGAATGCATTGGTGATTTTTAATTGAGTGTTTTTTTGGATTTTGTAGACCTCCAATTCGAAATTCCGGTAGAGAGAGCTCTTGGTCGCGTAAAATGAGTGGATCTCTTGCCTCTTCGATCCACGGTATTAATGATAATGCTGTAAGTTCAAGTTTTTTTGATAATTCTCACTAACCATCCCCCTAAGTGGTCCAAAAACCATCCACCGTGAGCAAACAAGGGCAGAGGCTTATTAATTGAAGCTAGATATTGTTGGTGAGTAGTGATTAGGAGGTAGTTCACCACGTAGACACATAGGCAAATCAACACGGATATAATTATAGGTAATTTAGGGAACGTACTAAAAATGGTTTTGCCTTCAATCAATAGGTCTGTATATCTTAAGTGAATCGGATCAATTCAGTCAGTTGCAGATCTGTTTGCTGCATGAAAGCTTAGAGGAACAAATTTCTCATGAAGAAATGATTACACTCATAATTACTAATCGTCAACATTAAATGCGAAACTCAAACGCCTTGAATGGTCTACAACATTATGAATGTGAAACCTAACGAAAGTTAAACATGAACAGAATGACTATCGCAAATTTATTTAGCAATTTGTATTAATATCACATTTTAGGATATGTGACAGTTCCCATAAGCCCTTCAATTGACATCTGCTTTATAGATGGAAGAACATCAAAGTCGGAAAAAGTGGAGAGGGGAAACAGAAGAGCGATTCACAAATGTAAAAGAGGCAGACACAAAGGTAGAGAAAGGGGTAAGGTGAGTACTGTGAAAGTATTCGAATATGGCATATAGTGGGGTCATGGTAGTTTGAAGTCAGAAGTCAACTGCCGGTTTATAGACTTTTTTGCCGTACGAGTATACGTTGCCCGGGGTGTTCCACGTGGAGGTAAGTCTATCTCACACCTCACACTGGAAATATAATTTTTAAGCAATTCATCGCACTGACAGAAGGACTCGGTTCCCAGTTCAATCCTGATTTATTGTTTAAACAATTTTCTTTACATAAAATAGTTATTAGATACTCGAATTTTGAATGCGATTGCAGTTGTTGAAGTCGGTTGGCATATATTGTCCCTAATGTCCATCTCTACTAATTGAAGTTGGCTATGTACAGCATCTCGGTAGTGTTCCGAAATGCCATTAATGCTAACTGGGATGTCTACGGCATTAAGTTGCTCTCACTCACCTGCGCATAATGAGCCGAATACTAAATTTATAGTATCATTTGTTTCAAGTGCTAAACAAGATTCCTGTAAACTTCCGCATAGAACTACTATCACTCCTCTTTTCCATCTTGTCTTAGGTTAGTTTTCTTAATAATACTATTCCCCTTATACAACTACTGAAATAAATCAATGCAAAACGCTAGAGGAACGAGTTTGCTTATTTTCTCTTTAAGCCATCTGTTCAATATATAATTCGTCAAGTAAAAGTCCAATTAATGTTTTCGTTTCATGAGTGATTAATTATTTCATATTAATTGTTGTGACACTAGAATTTAACTTTCACCATTTTGTTTCCCACATTTTGCCCACTATTATGAAAAATTACCTTCATTTGGTGATTCTTCTTTTTATCCACTTCTCTGATTGGTCCGAGAGATTGCTGTATCTTTTCATTGGTTGATGGTTTTCTCTCTCTCTTTATATGGATTTTAGCTTCTCAGTGACGCTGAGAGTGCATTGGAGGATTTTCGCGAATCTGCATCTTTGCTATCCAGTTATGACCCATCAACTGACTGATGGTGCCGGCTCCCCCTGTGGATCTAGTTTAGTAGCTGCAATATCTCAGTTCCGACCAAAATGGCAGCCTTCTTCTATAAAGAAATCTTTTATCAAGCCACACACACACACACACGCTCTAACTTTTCGCTCTTCCAGTTCGTATGCTTCTGAGGAAATAATAACCCGGATTCAAAATCTTATCCCATCTTGTAATGACCACAAAAACACCTTCCATACCTGCACTGTTTACGTTTCCTCTCTTCGCATTGCTCGGGTGTGTTTCCAGCAAAAAAAACTGGAACATTGAACCTAACTAGGTAATTTGTATTATGTAAAATATACACTTTATTTTTGGATACGCCTGTGGTTACTTCGTACTACCTATTGTGGGCTTTGATTTCTGTGTGTATCTGAGATCATTAATAGGGTCTAGCCATTTTTCACCTGGGAAAGATTACATAAATAAAGTATCCTTGATGGGAAAGTAGTTGTTGGAAATGTGAAATATAATCTCGTATTGTTTTTATTTTTTTAAGTATATGAGGGTGACAAATGTCATAACTTTAAAAGGAACTAGGTTTACCCGTTCAAACGTGTCCCTTTTGGCTGCCTTGGTAGCATACAACTGTTCGATCACCCTAATGTAAGGTCAGGATCAGGACAGGTTGCACATCACTGCTTCAAATGGCAAATTTGGGGACCAGTGATAGCATAACATTTTTAACGAAACTAAGTTGGAAATCTGTTCAAATCATAAAAGCTTAAAAAGAGGTTTATGCGGACTCTGCATCATGCGTAGCTGTCTTTTAGTACTGGGTTAAACGCTTCAAGGAGGGAAGAGTGACACTTGATGATCACCCATGGGTGGAGGAGACTCACCACAGGAGGGAATTAATTAAAGATCTATTTTGTGCCTGGTGGAACCGTGTAAAACATGATGGACAAGTGTCCACTGAGGAAATTGGCAATTAAGACGGATCAGCCTTTTAAATTATCACCGAAAATTTTTGACATGAGCAACCTCAAGGTGGGCTTCGAAAGTGTTGCAGGAACAACATCTGATCCAAAGAGCTGAACTTGCTTTACCAACGTTGGCAATGAAAAAAGATTGAGAGGGCAAATATTTCTTGAGCTGCGTCACCAGAGATGAAACCTGGATCTATCAGTTTGTTTGGAAATTCAAGCAAAAGAGAAGCATCCAAAAAGTGCATCTGACCCTGTCTAGTTGTAAGCTGAAAGGTCCGTTAAGAAGCCCATGACCACAATTGTGGGATTCAAAGGGAGTACTTTTACTAGACTATCTAAAAGGACAGAAAACAGCCACCTCAAGTTATTATGAAGGCGTTTCGAAAAAGTTGGAAACCGCACAGTGAAGTTTTGTCCCATCATTCTTCAAGAGCTGCTAAGGCCCTGTTGCGCAAATTTCGATGGGATACACTTCAGGATCCTTCAAACCTTTCTGTTTCCAAAACTGAAGGGTCACCTCAAATTCACCCGATTTAGTCATTCATTAATTTATTTCGAATGGCAGGCGTTTTGATAGGTATAGTTAGCCCTTTAGTTGACTTCATGCTTCACAGAGAAGAAGGAACATCGAAGGGAAAAAGTCGAGAGGAAGGGGGGGGAGAACAGAAGAGTGTTTCAAAGATGTAGAAGAGACAGACACAAAGGCAGAAAAAGGTGAGATGAGTACTGTAAGTAGTCAAATATGACATATAGTGGGTGATGGTAATTTGAAGTGAAAAGTCAACTGCCCATTGATAGACTTTTTTTGCCGTATGAATATACGTTGCCCAGGGTGCACCACTTGGAGGTAAGTCTATCGTGATTTAGTCATCAGGTGGAGCGTAAAGGCACGCCAGAGACAGGCCCCAAAATGCTATTGCGAGGGAATTTATAGGTGGAAACATAGATTACAATAGTGTAGAGACAACAATGAAGCCTATGTAGAAAAAAAAGAATCCGATCACCTGTTAAGTATATTTATTTATATCAAACGGCAGGCGTCTTGATGGTTATAATTAGCCCTTAAGTTGACTTCAGGCTTCACAGAGGGAAAGGAACATCAAAGCGAAACAAGTCAAGATGGGGGGGGGACAGAAGAGTGTTTCAAAGATGTAAGAGACAGACACAAAGGTGAGGTGAGTACTGTGAAATATTCGAATATGGCATAGAGTGAGGTGATGGTAGTTGAAGTGGTCGAATATGACATACATTGGGGTCATGGTAGTTTAAAGTCAGAAGTCAACTGCCGATTAATAGACTTTTTGACATATTATATTCGAATATGGCATAGAGTGAGGTGATGGTAGTTTGAGAGGTCGAATATGACATACAGTGGGGTGATGGTAGTTTGAAGGATGTCGAATATGGCATAGAGTGAGGTGATGGTAGTTTGAAGTCAGAGGTCAACTGCCGAATAATAGGTAGATTAGGGTGGTATGATCAAATGTCAAATTTAAGTTGCTGGTTGACAAACCGATTATCGCGGGCAAGAACCAGTCCAGTTACGGAGAGTTCAAGTCATTTAAATTGAGCTGTGAAGTATTTCACACTGAAATTTGATTTATATATTGGTCAACGCATAGCTTGGTTGAGAGTCTCCCTTCCTCATCTTTACCGTGATTTATTTCAACATTTTAATTATTTAAGGATGGGGTGTGCGATAGACTTACCATCTCGTGGTACACCCTGGGGAACGTTTACTTATACGTCAAAAAAGCCTATAAATCGGTAGTCGATTTCTGACTTCAATCTACCATGGCCCGACTGCATTTCATATTCGACCCCTTCCACAGTACTTATCTTATCTATTCTCTGCCTTTGTTTTTCTGTCTCCTTTAAATCTGTGAATTGCTATCCTGTCCCCCTCTCGTCTTTTTGTCATTTTGATGTTTCTCCTTCTCTCTATGAAGCCCGAAATCAACTAAAGGACTAATGATAACTATCGAAATGCCTGACATTTAATTAAATAAATTATTGAAGGATAATATACCTGTGTTGGCAGATATTGAATTGAACGTTTAATTTACAGGTCTATATAGCCTCTAATCATCCTTTAATTTTAATTGCATAATTGCGGGGTTTTCTTAGCCCAGATGAAATAGCCAACAATAAAACAGGGTATTCAGTTAAAGATCTTGAATAATAATTGTTTCGTTGATAAATAATTTCTCTCTAAAAATTTCATTTTTCATTGAGGTGTGAAAGGGAATTGGGGTATTTGAAAGATCGATAAAACGGAACTGCTTAGTTGATAGCGTGCATAGTACACACACTCTATTCGTTTAAATTAAAAAGAATTAAAATGGAGGTATTTAAGAACAGAAAGGCTATGCTACAAATGGATGAGTTATATTTTACATTAAGGATGTTATGCCATGTTATTGCATGATAAATTTAAACAAGCAGATTACTGGGTCACCTTGAACTCGTTATCCATTGCTATTTCGGTTAATCTCGTACACGTCGCATCAAAGTATTCAAAATCCAGTTGAAATTACTGATAATAAAATAAAAGTGGAAACTTTGTAGGCCCTTTCGTTTTAATAATATTAGCTCAAGAGGAGTCCTTGGAATTCGAGATAGTTTCAGCAAGCTGATGAAATGGAGATAATAAAAGCATCCATAAAATAAAGCACTTTTTTCTATGAGTGTTACCACTTGGCTCTAATAACTAAAAACCTATTCTTCCTATTTTGGCCGGAGCTGATCAACTTAGTCCTTGAAACTCCAAACACAATCACAGTGATTTTTTTACCTCGAGGTTTTTTTAATTAAACAGGTCAATTTCGCTTCCATTTTAATAGTTGGGAGTGCAATTAATCAATTTGAAAATTCGTGGACAACAGTTAATCTAAAACTCGAAGTTATTTTATTATTATTAATTGCTTATGACAGGAGATTTTAGAGGACGAAGAGAATTTAAGCCTGCCTACATTGAGTGTCTAGTTGTTCGAGCCAGCGTACTCCACTCTATTGATAAAGCCGATGGATCTCTGCAAAACTGCTGCCACTTTCATACGCAAGGAATAATACATGGACTCCCGGGTTTTGACTTTCGATTTTCAGTCGGTAGGTTTTTATGCGTCTGATTTGGATGCCAATACAATAGGGCATTCCCTAAATGTAATGGAAGACAATTTTTAGCATTGTCAGATTAATAAACGTCTCCTTCCTCGCGTCCTCCACGTTCTAGAGTCTCTATTAATTATTTATCATTGAAACAGGAATATTTCTTGCTCTAAACGTGTGGTCTGTATTGTTGTTACAGGTAGCACATTATGCGAAAAGTAGGCGAGGCCGACTAATTGCATTAATGATACCCCTCTAAAGAGATACTTCAGAAATAATCATTAAAATTTAAACCAAGGGTTGAGCAATATGGAGGCAGAGAAAGTTTTGCTCAGATTAAGTAATTTGACCTTGTTTACGCATTTTCAACTATTGGTTTTTTGCTTAGTAATGTAATCTTCAAAACACACGCAGCGTATTACCCAATGGAAAAGTGATCTAGATTAATGTACTTTATACAGAAAAGGCAACTAATCCGAAAAGTTATTATATCTTTGAGAGGCTTGAAAGTCAAAAATGATTACCGAAATTCCTTCCTCAGTGTAGAAACTGATTATACGTCTATCATCAAGTCTGCCCAAAAGCCAAACTAATCTCCAATGTTTACCTTCTACTTTTGAGTGCTGGGGTACAATAGTCTCGACTAGCTTTTGACTCACAATGCACATCTACCGTCTGGTTGTCACTTAATTATTCAATGTGGTATACGAAGCGTTAGAGGGTCTTCAATTCTCTGAATTTGTTGTTGATTACATCGGGAACATTTCGTGCCTAAAGTGGCATCTATCATGGCTGATCGGACTGAAGAGTCCACATTAATCATTTGGTCTATGTAATTCCCACCATTCCACCCACAAAAAAATTCGGTGGCCCATTTGTACCCACCACTTTGATATTATGCAACTCGTAAGATCTCTCATTGGGTGACCTGGCACTAACAGCTT